ACAAAAATTGATGTTTCATGGGGCTACTCCAAGTGCTCCACTTCTGTGGGGCTCATGAGGATGATGTTGCACAGTGTAGTATGATAAAGGTTGGTTGGGACATCCCACCAAAGTTACTTCAGGTGGAGGCTGATTCCACCAGTCTTGATGTATACCCATGGCCAATAACGCACACTATTGAGATGGGGTGTTCCACAAAACAGCTTGTAGGTTTTCCTAGTGATGTTTTGCTCCATAAATATGCTCATTCCAGACTGTACGGACTCATGGATTATCATAAATAAAGCAGAAGGGGATAGCTGCCCATCCCTGCAGTCCCTTTGATTGAATAAATTGAGGGTGGTCTGCTTTTAAAAAATAGGGACCTCATGATCACCCATTGAACTGTCTCCGGTGTCTGCATTCATTTGGACTCCTCAACGCATTCCCCCCTTCTTCTAGTTCAGAAATGGAGTTCTTGCAACTTTCCAGTTCCTAGCCACTTGGGTTGTCGACCATGAAGCTGCATCCTGAATGTGCTCAATTGTGTTCAATTGAGAGTACAGTGGTGGTGTTCTGCAGGTGTAGATGGCATAGATCCTCCACCTGAATCATTTCACACATATGCCCTGTTTAGTTGGACAGTGCAAAATTTCTCTTTTCTGTCTCCTAAGCTTGAGATGAAGAAAGTGTAGACCCTCCTCCTACCATAATACATACCCGATGCCACCTGGTTTTGGACTGGAGTTGACCTGCTGGGTATGGTGTGACACACCCTAGCCATATTACTCGAAGGTGTACATCTGTTTTAGCTTTTCCCACCATCATTTCTGTGTTTGTGGATCCTGCATTCATTCATCTCCTGAGTTATGCTTTCTGGAGATTTCAGTGAGAAGTAGGGCCAGGGCAACCGTCTTTTATATCTGATCAGAGATGTGCTCCAACTAATTTCCACCAAATTATGCAACACTTACTACCACATTGGGCAAAGAGTATACCTGGTACAGAAATGGTGCAGTCTCCCACATTTGTTCCTCTCCCAACAGAAGTCACTCTCCATGAGTGTTCTTTGGATGCTTTCAAAGGATGCTCATCTATATCCCTTGTACTGGTCCCTCTACTCTTACAGTGTAGGATCTTAGCTATTATGTGAGTATACCTGGTACAGAAATGGTGCAGTCTCCCATGTGTGTTCCTCTCCAAACAGAAGTCACTCTCCATGGGTGTTATTTGGATGCTTTCAAAGGATGCTCATCTATATCCCTTGTACTGGTCCCTCTACTCTTACAGTGTGGGATTCTAGCTATTATCTGAGAAGATGTACTGTACCATATCGGCAGTTATTATTTTACTACACTGAAAACTTACCTCTACCACTGGTAATTATTTTCTGCCTAATCTTGAAGTGGTTGCTAGGTGAAATCGAATAGAGAAAGTAACCTGCATCAGGAGAGTGTGTCATACTCATATTGGTGGAGGGTTATTGCATAATAATTTACATGCAAAGATGCAGTAAACCACTTTGATCATGGGGTAGATGGGAGTTTCAAGGCTGGTGGTGAGGGAAAAGTTTTGCATATGTGACTGGAGGTAAGTATCTATTGGAAATAGTTGAAAATAATAACTATTGGAAATAATTGAAAATAATAACTTCTACAATATCAGATTTCACTTTTACTTGGACAGTTGGTTTACTCTAACCCTTTCTTTCACTTAATATCATATACACACACACACACACACACATTTGACCACCCAGCTGACTAAATCTATTGAGTAGACCGTTTAACACTCCAAATTACATTTAGTAAAAACACAGTGTTTGGTACATCTGGTATTCTTTACTAGCACAGTCGAAGGTACACATATGATATATCTTATGATGTTTTTAGCCTTGGAATCTTGTGTTCCTACTCTTTCACATCTACCTCCTTTCTGCCCTGTGGATGATGGCCTCAATTTACAAACTCATTCCATTGGTACACACTCCTATGCATCACTTACAATGGAATCTTGCTTCTGAAGGCATATGACTTTAAATCCATTATCATAAAATCAAGATGTTTTTTCCTTTCCCTCTTGACCTTCATATTTTCACAATTCTTGGGCTGGAGAGCTGTGTTAAAGAATCAACACCATTCTGATTTTTGTATTCCTTAAGAAGCAACAGATTCATTGTGTTAGAACACTGAGCTGTTTAATGTGTCTTTATAAAGTTTCAACCTCTGTAGTAGTTTAAATTGTTAAAAAGTGACTTACTGGAAATAATGTAGTCCAACCTCTACTCTGCCTTCTTCCTCAGATCCTGGCCAAAATCAGTTACTCAAAGTGCCAGGTTCTCCTTACTGATTCACCTTGATTTGCTCAACCATGGCTTTCCATCTTATGTCTAAGTTTCTTACAGAGAACCAGTTCCATTACTGCAGTAGAATCATCTTTGACAACCTCAATTGCCAGTGTTTCACAACAACATTTAATATCTACAACTTCATGACTAGCTGTTGTTTAGTCGTTTGTCTGAGAAGCAAGATTCTCTTTATGGGTGGCTGGAATGTTAGTCTATTCTTGCACATGCTCTTATCTGTCTGTTTATCAGTTTTGTTTAGTTACCTTCTGGAGTTAGTGCATTAGACATGTTAGATCTTGTTTATCTCTTAACTCCTCAACAAATTATATCTTTATTTATTTGTTTCATAATTATGGCTTATCAGCTTCTTCAATAGCTGATTACAAAGTTACTGTTTCCAACTCTTTTGAACCTTTAGCAACTTGTTGCTTGGGTGGACAACAGTCTGATATGTATGTCCTTGATGCTTCTCATACTTTATTTTCTTGGAAAGCCTTATACTTGAAACCAGATCATGGCTTCTTACCTAAAACTTAGACTGCAAGAGAAGGTAACCAATGTTTTTCACATGTTGTATTACCTACCCTGATTGATTCTGTTTCTTACTCATAAGAACATATTTTACTTCCTATCAGGGTTATTCACTGTTATCTTGCATGTATTGAATCTTACAGTGGGTCTCAGAAAAGGTTGTTTATACCTTACAGTAAATCATGCTCTTTGGATCTTCCTTAGGTTTGTTGTCTTACCTTTCCTGACTGATCTTGATGCGTGTTGGCAATAATACATTTTATGTCCTTCAGAGCTATTTGTTGTTATCTTGATTATATTGGATCTTTCAAAGAGTCCACAAAGGGTTGTTTATACCTTACAATAAATGATGATCCTTAGACTATTTTAACAAACTGGTTTATGCAATTGATCTATCTTGTTGACTGGGATGTTCCCATTCATCTTAAAAATTCACTATCTGGCAGTGTTGCAGTATTCTTTAGTGCAGCATTTCACAAATTACGGGGTGCAACCCTGCAGGGGATGCAAATTATCTCTTAGGTGGGCATGAGCAATTGGGGTATAGTCAATTGTGCAATAATGCAAAATTAAACATTTTAATTTAATTTATATTAAGGAAAATAACAAGTAATTACTACAACACATATAACATTTGAATATGTATCTGTGTATTAAATCTCATCACTTAACACACACTTTCACTCTTTTAAAATGAAAGTGGGCGAGGGGCATGCAAGAAACCATATTTATTAAAAGAGGGACATGGATGACAACAGTTTGGGAAACATTTCTCTAATGGATAGTCTGCAGACCACAATGTGGATGAATTTGCATAATGTTTGTCTGTGCATGGTTTGAAGAATCAAACCACACAGACTCCCTCGGAGGTTATTCCTCTGTTCCCTGCTTATGCCCACCTCTGTTTGCACATGATAACACAGGTTTTGCTGATAAGGCCCAATACCCCTTTTAACAGTTACAGTGGCATCTGGAATTGTGGATTCATTGGATTTAAATAATAATAATAAAATAAATATAAATGCATAGTTTTCTTCAAATATGAGGAGTTGTCCAGTTCATGCAATTATCCTTGACAAAATTTCATCCTCTGTGCTGGTGCTCCATGAGAGGGTAATGCATTCTGGTGACTGATAAATCCTTGATGGGTACCTTTGTCACCTCTGCATTTGTGTTATTGCATAGTATTTGAGACATCAGAGACAAGATGACTGTCTTCATGTGATGTCTCATAGCAACAGTCAGGATGGGGAACAGTTTTCTGAACCTATTTGATGTTCCCAAGGTTTTTAATGTTTCAGAAATAAGTACCTGTCTTAAATTAATTTTAATTCTAAAAATATAAAAATTCAAATAATTATTAATTAATTTCAATTTTGATTAATTTAACAGTTATATTATTCCTCTTCAGTATTTGTTTCTTAATTTCACTTCTCCATTTGGTTAATTATTTTGTGCAGTTAATTGCTTTTATTGCTTCCTGAATCACTTGCCAGTTGTTCCACACATGCTTTATTTATAACAGTTCCCCATCACAGAACACTTGTATGCTTTCTTTTTGAGATGTATCTTGAATGTGCTACCACTTGCAATAATGTGATATGCAATTATAGTTAAAGGTACGTTATACAGGCTGCATTGGCTATCATGAGCTTATACGAAACATATTAAATACAACAAAATAATTACAGCATCTTTTAAATGCATCATACAAGTTTTAAAGTTAATAATTCATTTTTAAGATTCTCTTTGGAAATTCAGTAAAATTATATGGAGTACTATTTGTTGTACTGAATTAATACAATCAATTAAGATATAAATATTTTGTATTAAATATACTGTGTGTTTTGACTAGAATAAAATAATTCAAAACCATAGATCTTGACAGCATGGGGCCTGTGCAGCCACAGTGATGTAAGGCTACTGACAATAGCTCTAGTTAGGTGAAATGTTTAAGTGTTAATTATGTTTCTTTTAGGATCTTAAATTTTCATATGATTTAAATCATTCTCATTTTATCTAATGAAAATACAAAGATTATAGTAATAATAATTAATGACACTTTTAATTTCAAATGAAGAACACTGAAAACATTCATAAATACTAAAAGTTTGTGAATGATTTTAACCCTATTCTTAGCTTTTCCAGACTATGCCATGGAGAACAACTCCAAAAATTGATTCTGAATGGAAGAAGAATGTGGCACTTGAAATACTGAATAATCTCAGTGAGTCTCGCCTTGCTCGGTCTATCTGTAACCACTTCTGTGAGCGGCTGAAAAAATCCCATAGCCAGTTTTCTGCTGCTCTGAGAAACCTGGAAGAACTACACTCAGGGAGACTGCAGCGAAATGAAGAGTTAAAGCTAAGGGTAAATATATTATATAGTTATTAAAATAAAATAAAGAATATACACTGTTCTGGGGAAGTAACATCAGTTATGTTACTGAAATGAAATTATACTGTAACAGGTAAAAAACACAAATATAGATGCTCAAGAAATCATGGATTAAGGTAAAAAATAACAGGTCTGTGTCTATACAACCTGTGTGTCTCATGTGGTGATGGATCAAATTTTAAAAAAGTAGAGACATTTGTCTTTTTTCCGTGATCATTCGAGGTAATAAACACAACAGTTCAAGTTATTTTTTGTGAATGGTTGATCAAGATACATAAAAATAACAGTAAAAGCTATGTCATGTGTAGAGATGGGTTGAAGTAGAAACCAACAGTACAGCCTTGTGCCTTTTATATTGGTACAAGCAGTGGTATTTTTGGTAATTGCTTCAAAATATTGGCAATGAAAACATTTGTTTAAGGAAATGGAAACTCATAAGTCACTGATAAGGACAGTAATATCATATATGTTTTATTCATGCATAAAGAACTTTTTAAGAGAAGTGTAAACTAATAGGTTATCAATGAGAAAGGTAGTGTCATATACAATCTTTCATTTGTACATAAAACATTTGTTAAAAAGAAATGATATATACTAAGTTATTGATGAGAATGGTAATGTCATATACATAACATATCATTCATGCACAAAACACTTGTGAAAAGAAATGATAACAAAAAGTTTTTGACAATGTCATATATTTAACATTGAATGGTATGATTCTTTGGGATTTCTTTTAGAGACATAGTGGGGAACTCCATGGTGGTGGGTAGTTGTAGCTGCAAATGAGATCATGATGGTGGTTTAGCTGTCAGTGTAGTAGCCCCAATATTAACATCCACTGTGGTTAAAGGTTTCTTCACTGTAGGATGAGTTTACAGTATTTTAGATGTAGCACCTGACAGAGTGATATATTCTTGGCCTTTGGAGTTTTTCTGGACAAGTTTTAGCACCAGGAAGATCTTTAGGTTTGGGGATGTAATGGTTCCCTCCAAAGATGTATGCACATTTGATGTCATTGATAGTTTGTTAACTTACACCTTTTGATGGAATACTTCATGTGTCCATGGTGATGACTTTTAATTCTCTTAGATTTTACTTAAGATGATGTTGACAGTGGTGATTAGGCTGCAGACAGGCTAGGTTTCCCCAGTGACTCTGTTATTGGAGTAAACACCAAGGTGTGGCTAGCATATCTTATGGCAGTTCTGTAACTGAAGGAGCTTCTGGGGTTGACAGCAGTTTGATTATATCTTAAAGACCCCAGATCTAATCTATATGTTGCTTCCATAAGATCCTACATGTCTAATGAGCTGTTTAATAACTTGTCTTTATCCAGAGGCTTTGTACTGGCTAAAACCGGATGTTAAGTTGCACTAGGAGTTTCAGTTGCTGCAGGGAAGTCCTATGAAATCTTTATATTGGCAGAGAAGACAAAATAATTTGTCAAGCATGAAGGTTAATTTTGTACCTTAACTGTCTGGTTAAGTGAACAAGATCGCCAGAAGGGTTAAGGATTTGGTCTTGTATAAATGAATAAGGATTGAAAATGAATGGTCAACTGGATTCTAATTAGTTAGAAGTTCAGAAAAAGTGCAGGTTTTAAAATTTTAGTGGTCCAGTTACAACCACTACATATTCTAAAAACAAGTTTTAGAAAAAATGTTAAAACTATTTTTCTGGTCAAGTGTCATTTCTACAGGCATATGTGTACTCATTTGTCTATTTCCATTAGAAGATGTATCTCTTGTGCTTGTGAACGTCTCTGTTCATCAAGCTTCTTCATTAGGGCCCATCGCTTGATCAGCATATAGTTGTACTACTCACCATTGCCAAAACAACAGAAAACATAAACCTTCACCAATTGTTTAGTTGTTACGATAACAGAGTCAGGGTCCAAGGAGGCAAAACTGTAATCACATGGTACCTAAACAAATAACTGAAACAGCCAATGTACAACATCTAGCTTCTGGCCATGGGAATTATTAACACAGACATCTTTTTCTACTAGACTTTTTAAAATACAAGTTTGATATAAGCAGGGTAAAATCAAAGAATGTTGCATGGGTGTTACTTTCTGCCTGAGACTTTATACTCAGTCTACACTGTCTTTCATTTTCAGTGCACATTTCTTACTAAAAATTGTGTTAAGAAAATGATCTGTAAAACTTCATAATTGAAAATATTAAATTTTAATCAAACAAAACACTTGGTACACCAAGTTTATCTTTTGTGTGATATATAAGCTACTGCCTGTAGATTTCACTTTCTCAGTAAATTTCACTTGCTTTTGAATATTTCAACTTCTTCCAGTCAAATATATCCTTCATTACTATTACTGAAAACATCTGAAGAAACTGTTTTTTCCCTGAAATGTAGTGTGAAAATACCCTACCTACTGAATATTTCAATGCCAAAACTAAAAACATTGGCTTACTACCATTAATGAAAATATCAGACGTACTGTAACTTCCAGTATTACTTTATAGATAAGTAATCGAAGTTTACTTCAAGTCTCATCGCCTTATTATTCAAATCATATCCTTTATTTTCATTCATAAGTTGCTTGAAAGTTTTATTCTCTGTATGATTGACTCATTTGTGTCACATAATACTCACAAGTTACTTTATGTAACATCCACGTATGTGGACAATACTAAACACACCTGTATATATGTATATTACCACATACATATATCTCAATGCTACATATTTTCATACATACAGGCTGACTCTGACTTGCATGCCCTTACTTTGGTAACCAAAACAACCTTACCTCCACTATCTATATCTCAGTAGCTGCAGTTGACTCACTTTGTTAGCTTCATGAAAAAAATAATCACTGGCAGAATTCATGCTCTTAATTTTCATACTGTAACTACAGTACTCTAAGAAGATCACAGAAAAATGCAGTGGTCAACCAAGCAAACAGAGAGCTCTGCTTGAACAAATTCTGGTTGCAGCGCCAAAATTTCTTTTTATTACCTTATTTTGTGATATTCTCAGATACACTGTTATCAGTAGCTTGAAGAACGTCAGAAAGTATATCATTGTATTAATCTACAGTTCCTCTAACTCTGACTGAGTTTATAGCAGAAAAGAGATTGAACACAATGTAGACAAAGAGAGAAACAATCTATTCTCACAAAATACAAAGGGAAATGAGTGCACTGGATGATGGATGACACTTTTACATTACAGTATAAGAAGTTTAAATTTTGTGTCTCATTCTGAAGAGGTTTTGATGAGATTACATTCTAGATTGAGATACTATGACATTGTACACAAAGAAAATGATGTCATCCCTCTCAGTTTGCTACCCATGTGAAAGTAAGGAAGACAAAGCTTCTAGACATTTATAAACTTAGACATGATGATGTTGCTAGAAACATTAAATACAAGATCAAAACCAGGTATCCAATAACATCTATAAGAAAGACCATATATGTATGAAAGTTTGTAAGCACTTTAAAAGCACATATGTCTGAAAAAAGTTTGGTAAACTACAGTTTTGACTCTCTAAACTAAATGAAAAAGAAAATGTCATTTTCACACATTCCTTAGAGTGATTGGTCAAGGTAAAAATAACAGTAACATTTTGTGCCTTTTATATAAATGGATCAAAATACATAAAAACAACATTACAAACCCTGTGGAATGATAGGTCAGAGTAAAAATAATAGTACAGCTCCTTGCCTTTCATAAAGAAGGATTAAATATGTGAAAACAACAGTGTCTTGTGTAGCGAGGAATCAAGTTAAAAATTATAGTACAGTTCTCTCTCTTTTGCAGTGATGGATCATGGTAAAAAACAGTTGTAAAGCTTTATGGCTTTTGTGATTGTGGATAAAGGTACATAAAATCAACAGTACAAGCAGTGTATCTTTCATATACTTTATTTATTCAATATTTTAAAGATGTTTTTTCATGCTTTTCGTATTTGTGTGTTTCAGTTTTATATAACTTGTTTATAACTTGTTATTCTGATATTAATCAAATGTTAAACAGTTTTCATAGCTTTGTCACAATAGCAATTCTAGTTTATGTTAGAAATTTGAAAACTGGTTAAATAAATTATGGTTATGAAGTATTGCTTCACTTTTATTAAAATGTTTTATTGATAAGCTGCATAAACTGAGTTTTTAAGTTGACTTTTGTTTACAGCATTTCTCTGTAACTTACTGATATTATTTGAGATATTATTGAATGAAAATTGGAAAAATTTGGTGATAGAGATAGAAAATAACCATCAGATTTATTTTCAGGTGCGAAAAACAGTTGCCCCAAAGATTGCAAGATGTGCCCTGGAAAGTAAATCACTTATGGACATTGTTGCATTTGGTAAGATTATTATATTAGCCATTTGTAACTCATTGTTGCACTTGGTAAGACTGTTGTATTAGTTATTTGTAACTAGTGCATGCTTTGATGAATCAAACCATACAGGTTAAATATGTAAGAAGACATGAACAATTAATATTGTTTAATGTACATAACTTTAATATGCAAGTTTTATATACTTAAATAATTTACACTGATATGTCAGTAGTAATAATTATTAAGATACTACAGCTTATAGTTACATGAACCAGGTGATAAAAATAGGAAAAACATCCAAGTAAAATCCAGATTGTGTAGTGAACTTTCAGAATCTCATCTTTTGTTTTCTCTTCATGATTCTGATTATACACATTATAAGATGGTTAGTGGTACACGGGTGAATATAAAGAAATGGTAAAAGACATATGTTGATACTAATACTCTTGCTACTGGTTCATCAGTGCTTTTGATAAAATTTATACTAAAAATAATGTTGTATTAAGTGTTTTGTAAATTAATTATGAAGTATTGTAGAATAGGTACAATCTTTTGAATGATTTGTAGCAAGAAATAAAATATGATTAATGTTTTGAAAAAATGGGTTACATTCCTTAGGAAAAAATATATAGTAAATTAGGTTTAACATTTCAAATTTTGTTGCTTTCATTGGGACTTGAAGTTACAAAAGAGTAGATGTTGAATTAGAAAGATCACTTGTATTTGGTTTTTAATCATTAAGTACAGTAGGACTTAATAGTAGGGATCATCATGAAACAAAATGATGGCTATAAAAATTGCCTGTTTAAAACCACCTTTAAAATGTCTGAATATTAACAATGACTATTTCACAGTATTGGCTGAGCAAAAGTAAAACTTATTGTGCTTATAAAGCTGCCTAAAGTGCTATGCTCATATTTATGAGTGAATCAAAATTTCACTTTTTCAACGAATTTTCATTTAAGTAAGTATGTAAGTGACTTTTCCAGACAAGCATCCAGAAAAAATGATGAATCTTATCACTTTAATTCTTTCACAGAACTCTTCTATTTGGGGTTGCATTGATTTCTCTCTTGTACCAAAAACGATACTAGTATATACGTATAAGACTGACGGTGCACTACTTTGGGTATGTAATTAAATTTGAGGGTAGGTTTGGTAGAGATCCTGATGAGTAATAAAACTGAATCAGTTATACATGCACCCCACGCTTGGTATTACTGGCACACAAAAATATAGCTAATCAAAAGAAAAATTAATTTTTTAAAGACAAGTAGGGATCGATATCTATGTATCCTAGCTAGCAATAGTAATATATAAAGTTTTAATGCTACAAAACATATTGAAACAAGAAAGTCAAAATTACAAAAACTGAGTTACTAAAAAATGTTTTTAAATTTATCCCTACTTTGGCTCAGACTAACATAATTACAGTGATTTGCAAAAGTAGGGATAAATTCTGTTAAGTGTTTTAGCAACTCAGTTTTTGTAGTTTTGAATTTCTTTTTTCAATATGTTTTGTTGCATTCAAACTTTCTATATTACTATAGCTAGCTAGGTTACATATATATCAATCCTTAAGTATCTTTGTAAAATGGAGAAACAATTTATTATACTTGTTGTAGAATAAATGACAAGCAGTAGAATAGCTGTAGGTGAAGAGTTAATAACAGCAACAATCTTGCTTATTCTAAATCACATTTAATAAGTAGAAATAAGGTATTTTAGGCCAATAATGCACCAAACCTGTGTCATAAGTCATCACATTTTTCTCCATATTCTTTACTTATAAGGTATGCCTCAGTTGAAAGGTGAGATTGGAAGGGGTCAGTTTGGAATTGTGTATTCCTGTGATGCATGGGGTGCATACAGTCCATGTGCTGTAAAGACAGTTGTACCTCCTGATGACAGGCATTGGAATGATCTAGCAATGGAATTTTTCTACACCAGGTATGTATATAGTCTTTCTGAATCATCCAAAAGGAGCTGTTAAATTTTATGGTTACTAAAAACCTATTCACAATAGTAAAAAATATGTAGGATCAAAAGTTTGGTAAATCACTTAAAAAAAAAGTTGTCTAGTATGTCAGTAAAAAAAGGTTGAAAGTGTTGCATTGTCAAATGGATCTGTTTTCCTGAGGGGTAAAGGAATGAAAAATGTTTAATTATGGCTAAAACAGGATAAAGGCTACAATGCTTTCATCAGAATTTGTCATCAAGTTACAGGTGCACGTCTAAAATATGTTGTATCAGACTGCTGGGAATAAAAATACAAATATAATAAGCATTTAAATCAACAGTTTCATTTTATTGTTGTTCAGGATTTAGAAATTTTAACAGAAACTAAAACTTAAGGATGAACAGAAACAAAATTTTAACGACAACTGCACTAATCTTAAGACTTATTAGAAGTATATACTTGTTTCAGAACTCCATTGACAGACAGATAAATCAGAACTGGAGAGGTATAAGAAAATAACATTATTACACTTGTCATGGTCTTTTTATTTGTTTTTAGGGTTTTTGGATGATTATAAATAATAACAAACAAATCTACCTATTGGCTTTCCTTGTGACAAATGTACAAAAAATAATTTATCATAATTATTTTCACTAAAAATAAAAATTAAATGTTTGATTTATATATATAGAGACATTTAAACAGGACAAGTGCTATAACAGAGTGATCTGCATAACTCTTTGAGTTATCCCTGGTTGAAGTAAAATTAATAAATTATAAAAAGTCCTTGTAGAGTTTATGATCACTCTAATTGTAAGAAAATTTCAGTACATTGTCAATGAATATTTTGACATTTTAAA